GCGCTCGGTTGCTAACCCACCAGTTGCTCTGCAGGAGAAAGATGTGGCAGTCTGCTTCCATAAAGATTTACAGCCTTGGAAACCTATGGTCAGTTCTGCTCTGTCCTATAGGGTCGCTGTGAATCAAAATCAACTCAAAGGCAATGGGTTACCCCAAAAAGATAGGATAGTAGACCTCAATATAACCCGGGTCAGAGCTAGATTTCTACTCTTAAAACAATATCCAATGACATCTTTCCAAAAGCCATTGGATACATAGGTCTGGGAGGGAGTTGGGTGTGGTGGACAGGCACAGCTCAGAGCACTGATTTGGGTAGGACTTGAAGACCATTGGCTAATTGGATGTGGAGGTGAAGCTCAAGGGTCCAGCTTGGATGACCTAGCAAAGCAGGTAGACTCTGCTCAAAAAACGTCTGTAGAATGTAACTGACATGAAATCAAGGAGATAACGGGTTTACAGAATGGCTGGGTGAACCATGTAGACATTCACTGGTCATTCACTTCTTCTACAAGCATTTCCTTAGCATGTACCCCACTTGCCAGCCCTGTCCTGAGGATACAGACAGACAGTGGGTTCTCACAGCACAGTTTCGCAGAGCCACTAGCAAGCTGTGTGTGGGGCGGGGGAGGGCGTCTGCCTTCTCTGGGTTTCCTTGCCCCTTTGACTCAGTGCTGGGTCAGCTTACATGAGATCTAAGGCCCTCTCAGCTTGGATGCCTGGGATTCTCAACCTCAGCCTTGTCGCACTGGCTGCCTTGCTCTGTGCTAGGCCACAAACTTCCTGCAGAACGGTGATGCTCTTTATCACCGTGTGTGTACAACAGAAATCGAATTACTCATTCCCTCCCCCTGCCACTAGCTCCCCTCTGCCTCACCCGCACACTGCCCTGCATCTGAATACTCTGCTGCAGATAAAAGCAGGCTATAAATAAATGCTGTGTAGCCACATGGACAAGATTGCAAATGCAGGCCTGCCAAGGGCTGGGACTGTGGCTGCTCCCACACTGAAAGGCCCTACCACTTCTGAGCCATCACGTCTGCTTCTCATAATTTTTCCATCTCTTTCCTATCAAGCTACCAGCCATCTATGAAACTGCCTGTAACAGTTCAGACCCACCAACATTCACCCTGACTAACTGCTGCATCTGTAGGTTAAACCACCACCCGTCAGCTTGTCATACTGTGGTGGCTTGCATGTTGCTGTGATGCTGGAAGCGATGCCACTGGTATTTCAAATACCAGCAGGGTCACCCATAGTGGACAGGTTTCAGCAGAGCTTCCAGACTAAGACAGACTAGGAAGAAAGGCCTGGCAATCTACTTTTGAAAATTAGCCAATGAAAACCTTATGGATCACAACAGAACACTGTCTGACTCTCTTACTTTGGACACAACATCAGGATGGATCAGTCGCTGGAGGAAGACACCCTGTTCTGGGAAGCAGACGACAGTGAGGGTGAGGGAGACCCTTGGTAAGATAGATTGGCATAAGAGCCACAACAATAGACTTGAACATGCTGGTGATGGTAAGATGACACAGGACTGGAAAATGTTTTGTTCTGTTGTACTTGAGTTGGAGGCGACTTGACAGCAACTGTCTATCTGTAGGTTAAAAGACCATCTATCTGACTAAGCTTGTTAAAATTGTAGGCAAAATCAGAGTTCATAGGCCCTGACTGAAAGCTATGGGACTTCTATGAGTAAAGTATATGAGCTTTAATGCCAGCTATTAGTGACATCACCTCAGCTTCCTCAGAAACCACTCTTGCTCCCCTCCCTGCCCGAGGTACACTGCGAGCTAGTGCCAGAGCAGGGCTGGTTCTCGCTTGTGTTCTGGATAGGTAAGATGGCTCGGTGACTGAAGGCTGTAGTATTAGACAAGATCCTTTCAGTTCAGGGGTTTCCTTCCACTTCTTAAAGACTGGAGCCCTGGTGGTGCAGTGGTTAAGAGCTATGGCTGCTAACCAAAAGGTCAGCAGTTCAAATCCACCTGCTGCTCCTTGGAAACCCTACAGGGCAGTTCCACTCTGTCATACAGTGTCACTATGAGTTGGAATCGATTCAATGGCAATGGGTTTATTTAAAGACTAGTGGTTTCCAGACAGTGCACTGCTGCAATGCTGGGCCTAGTGGGAAGGCTGGGGTCGAGGTGGGGGCAAGCAAGCTAAGTCTGTCCCCAACACGCCCACTTCAGTCAGAGCTGTGTGTCTTTTCTCTGTTTTACAGCTTTGTCTGTAAATTGAGCCTCGAAGTACTGCTCTAACTACCCCATCTGACCCTCTTACCCCTCTGGAAAGTAGAAAGAACAGAATTTTTCCCATCATTTCACGGATGTGGACTCTGAGGCCCAAAGATTCAGTGATCTGCCAGATAAATAGAGAAAAAATGTAGCATAGCCAGCCTGTTGCCTTAACCCCAGCTATGTGACCTTGGGCTTCTATTTCCTCATCTGAATAACAGGGATACCAATAGCATCTTCATGGGTTGCTGTGAGGATTGTTGTCGTTAGCTGCCGCAGAGTCGCCCCTTGACTCATGGCAACCCTATGCAGGATGGAACGAAACAGCGCCCGGTCCTGCGCCATCCCCATGATTACCCAGGGCCAGATTACCCAATAAGCAAGGTACGCACAGGCTTACATGTGCTTTCTTACTAATCCATAGTGCACAATTTCACCTGTTTTTCACCACATCAAAGATGTGGTGAAGCCTCGTGAAATTGTGCACTATAGATAAGTAAACGCAAGTAAGCCTGTGTGTACCTTGCTTTCTGTAAGCCTGGGTGTACCTTGCTTACTGGTTAATCCGCTCCTAGTTTCAGACCAGATAGCTGTGATCCGTAGGGCTTTCATTGGCTTATTTTTGGAAGTAGAGTGCCAGGTCTTTCTTCCTAGTTTGTCTTAGTTTGGACTTAGTTTGGAAGCTCCGCAGGAACCTGTTCAGCATCAGAGCAACACACAAGCCTCCACTGACAGACGGGTGGTGGCTGCACTTGAGGTGCATTGGCCAAGATTTGAGCCCCGGTCTCCCACATGGAAGGTAAGAATCCTACCACTGAACCACCATTGCCTCGCTGTGAGGATTAGACGAGTTAATACATACACAGTCCTGAGAACACACCTGGCGCATCGTTAGTGCTCAGTGAATGTTCGTTGTCATCACAGCTGGGCCGGGGTGAGCATCAGCAGAGGTGTTAGTTAGAATTCAGAGCTCTTGGGGGAGGTGATGCTGACAGTGACTTCGGAGGCGTCAGCCCAGGCTCAATGTGAGAGATTCCCACTAGCCTCTTTCTCCCCCTCCCTGTCTGGCCTTCCCTGGGAAAGCTTCAGCTTCACACAGCCCAGGGAGCAGCCATGGAGGAGAGAGGCACCTGGAGGCCGTGACGCCCACAGCCACTCAGACCTGGGGCAAGTACTCTGCATGGGCGGGGTGCCACCACTCAGGAAGAACCCACCACTGACGGGGCTGGGTTCTTGCCACTGCTGCTGCTTTTGCTGCTGCTGCCACACCCTGTTTCCTTATGTCTCCTCCCACTTCTCCTTCCTCCCACCCAGATCCTGTCATGGGGGCTGCTCCTTGCCCCAGCTCTGTGCCAGAAAAGAACAGCCCAGGGCCTCTGGGCACGGATAGAACAGTCAGGGTCTCCTGGCCTGGCCTGGGCTACAGAGCGGCCTGGATTTCCAGGCTCTGCTCCTTCCCCCAACTTTGTACTCCAAGTCAGGGCAGTGACATGGTGACTCCCTGTCACCCCCACCCCCTTGGGGCTCCAGCTGCCAGTCTGGTAGTAAGCACCATGGTGCTCAAAATGAGCCCAGCCAGCTCCTCCTGGCTGGTCCCAGCCCCTCTTTGTGGAGATGGGGAAACAGAGGCCCAGAGAGGGGCAGGGTGCCCTTCCCAAGCTAGCTCTTTGCCCCCTGTGCACCCAGTGAAGGCAGGATCAGGCCACTCACACGCTGGCCACAGGCCTCAAGCAGATTATGGCCCGGAAGGGAAGGAAGGCAGGCCTGGCTCATAAGCTGTCATCTCTCTGGCTGCTGGCCCCAAGAAAGGGCCCGGGGAGGGTCAGGCTGTTGGCTGGGGAAGAGCCTGCTGAGCACAAGATCAGACAGCCCTCTGCAGGGTTGGAAGGAGCGCCCTGGGGACAGCCAGGCTTAAGGAGAAGAGGGGATGGTTAAAGGACAGCTGGAAAAAAGCTGAGGGGATCTGGGATCCAAACTGGGCTTGCTAGCCATGTGACCTGGGCCAAGCCATTTTACCTCCATGAGCCAGCCAGTTATTTCCTGGGGAGAGAAGGAGGACTTTTCAGGCCTGTACTGGATTTAAGACGTGAGCAAGGAATTGCCCAGCCCACCTTGCTACCTGGAAGAACCCCCAAGGTCTCCAAGCGAAGAGGTGTTGGGTGAGAGAAAGAAAATTACCATTTGGTGTACCAGCAAAGTGCTGGGGTTTTACTACATTAACTCACCTTGTTTAATCCTCCCATCCATTTGATATATTTATTATTATTATTATTTATCTCCACTGTATAGATGGGGAAGCTGGGGCTCAGACACCTACAATGCCTTGCTCAGTCTGTAAGTAGCAGAGCCAAGATATGAACCCAAGTTTGTCTGGTCCTCAAACCTGAGACCCTCTCCTCCACTCTACATAGTCTCCTCAAGCCCCCACCCACATGCTAGACTCTCCTAAAAAGATCCTGCTGTGCAGGAGGGGTCTCTCAGAGAAAAAATTGGCCCTGGAGGTGCAGAGGACATCCCTTGCCCACGACAGTGAAGTTTGCAGGGAAGTCAGTACCCCCTTCTCCTTCCAACTTAGAAGAGAGAGTGGCCCGAGCCACCTCCGTGACAAAGTCACGTATCAATCACTACTTTTATGAGACAGCCTCCCTCTGGGAGTCATATCCCTTTGAACTTCCATGGAAAACTTCAGCTTCCCCGGAGTGCATTCTACTCTCTCAATGCCCCCCCCCTGCCCCCCGCCGACCCCGACAGCCTTCACTCACCCAAAAGGCATCTTTGAACTGCAGCTGGGGCATCATCCTTGGGCGTCTGCTGCAGCAAAGCACGCTCTCCTGCCCCAGGCAGGGCCGTCCGAGGGCCAAGAGCCAGGAGCACTGTCCAGTGCCCAGTGCCGGCAGGGCTAGCCCAGGCTCCCCTCCCTGGCCGGCGCCGTCTGCAGCAGCTAAGAAGGCAGCTGCAAGCCAGAGCGGCTGAAGGAGGAAAAGGGCTCAACCTGTTTTGTTTGGGGCTAGAATCTGCAGCAAAATGAGGAAGGAGCAGTGCCCAGTGATGAGAGGGCGGGCCCCGGTGTCTGGCCCAGCCCTTCTCCAGCCCAGCGGGTGATAGAGAACACAGTCCAGATCCAGGGCAGGGAAAGGAGATGCCACCCCCAGGCAGGAGGCAGCGATCTCGAGAGAGGCAGGCTGGGACTCAGGCCAGGCAGGCAGGCAGCCTGAGGCCTGCACAGGGAGGTTTGTGCAACCTCCCCTGGGGCAGGCACTGGAGCCCTCATCCACAGGAAGTGGAGCTGCTGTGCTCCCCTGTGCAGCCCTGCCTGCCACCTGCCACCTCCCTGCTTGCCTCTGCTTGCCGTTTGATGGCAGTCCCCTGCTGGAATGTCTCAACTTGAGAAGGGGCTAGGGCATTCCCTGAGGCCATACATTTAGGGAGCTTGTTGTTGTTGTTGTTAGGTGCCATTGAACATATTTTTAACTCATAGAAACCCCATGTGACACAGCAGAACTGCCCCAGAGGGTTTTCTAGGCTGTAATCTTTACAGGAGCAGATTGCCGGGTCTTTCCCCCGAGGAGCCGCTGGGTGGGTTCAAACTGCCAATCTTTTGGTTAGCAGCCAAGCACTTAACCATTGCTCCACCAGGACTCCTTTTAGGGAGCTTGGGGCCAACTAAGGATGTGGGCAAGAAGAGCCCAGGAACTTCAGGTTCTGTCTCCCACCAGCCTGGCCAGACCCACTCCCGGCCAGGCCAGTACAGAAATGTTAGACTCTTCACTCCTCACCAGGAATCTATTCAGGAGGGCCTCATCCAGGCCTAGGATATCTATCCTTCATCAAACCTTGGCTGCTCCGTGCTGAAGACCATGTCCTGCCCTCAAGGAGCTCACGATCAGGAGGCAGACACAGCTGTACTCTGGGGGGCTGTAGGAGCATAGAGGTGGGGATAAGTGGGCATCTAGCCAAGAAAGAACAGCCTGAGACCTGATGGGCACTGCCCCCAAGTCTCCAGCACAGCACATCCCTTGCCCACAGTGGTGAAGATTAGACACTCTGGGCCAGGGAGGCCCACTCTGGAGATGGATCTTAAAACTCCTTGAACGTGATAGAACCAAGAGAGAGACAGAGGTGGGAGTTTGAAAATCCAGGTTGAGGCCCAGATTTTTGTTTGGCCTGGGCACTACACTTCAGTGGCTGAGGGACTTCAATAAACCCTCCAACTCTCCGAGTCTCAGTTTCCCCATCTGCCACCCCAAGTCTTTGGAAAGGAGATGGTGTCGAGAACACTTCTGGAATTTCTGATTTGGTTGGGCAGGTGCTGGAGGCACCGTCTGGTACCACCTTGGGAAAAGCCCTGGGCTAGAGCCCACTTGAAGCCAGGTTCTGCCCACTCAGCAGAAGATGCCATCAGCGCAGTCTGGCAAAAAGGGATGAGTCAGGGACAATCCACAAATCACCACCCTTGCTGATGTCTCCCTTACAATTGACGGGAATGATAAGACAGATGAGAGCTGCAGCAGAAGGCTCGCCAAGCTCTCAAGTGCCAGTTATGCATGCCTGGGGTTTAGAGAGATGGGGCCCACCCAGGCTTCTAAAATAACCACCCAAGAGAGAACACATGATTCCTCAAGTATTTTTCTGACCACAAATAATTTTAATTCAAAGAGGAAGAGAACACATGGAGGAGAATTGCAGTGCAGTGGGGCTGGAGTTGCTGCACGGCTCCTAGAAGCCCCCTACCTCCAGAATCCTTGTGGTATGAGCTAATGAACATCTTTAGCGGTGAAGGCTCCCCAAGTCAGGTTTTCTACTGCTTTCAGCTGAAGACAGCTAATGGTGTACAATATCACCTTAAACTCCCAAGGCCATATGCTATGGCTGTACTTCTCATCCCAATGGCTTCACTACCTCTAACTAATATCACTGACTCAGCCCAGTGGCATCACTAGGGGCTTACAGGGGTGACACAGAGGAGGTGACACCGAAATGACTGTTTATAAAATTTTTGTGCAGGGCTTCAGTAGAAATTTATTCTTTTTTTATAACAACAAAAACATTTTTTGTAAGTCCAGCTTACATGTATCAGTATACCTACAACGCTAAAGCTCTATGCTAATTTACTTTTTGAACCTTCTAATGCCTTCTGGTCAGAGCTGTCGTTATTACCCAATTACAATGATGCTTTGAATCACGAGGTTTCATCTGCACCTGCTACAAGCACGCGCTGTTGTTTTTGTTGCTGCTGGTGTTTTTGTAGTTGCTAATTTTGTCAGATTTTCTGGTGTTTTAGCTGCAATATTGTGGTAGGTAGCATTTGTAAACCTATATCAATAACTTTTTTTGAAAATGAAGTAGTAATTAAAGGAAAAGAAGGAGTGATATATGGAATTATGATTTACTAGTAACATTAGCACAAAAAAAACTTACTAAGGATTTTGTATGGTCTGGTACAGGAAGAGATCCATCTGGGGCGGGGGGAGTATTACACCATGATTACTGCACTGGGTGACACCAACCCTGTGAAGCCACTGACTCAGCCTCCCTGAGCTGTCTTTCCGTCTGTCAAATGGGGTGATGCTTCTAGTTCTGGAAGCAGACTAGAGCCCTATGTTAATAGAAGGCCCTCTTATTGGCAGAAAACTTTACCGCCAGGCTCCCTTCCTTGACTCTCCAGGTGTTGCTCCCATAACCTTGTATCACGCATTTCTGCTCCAAACAGTCAGGTCTCCTCCCTCTCCCCAAAAATCCCTTTCCCACGCCTACCTCCAAAATTTTGCTCCATTTGTTCCCCTGCCTCCCTTCTGGCACGCCTTCCTTAATCTTCCTTATCTGGGCAAGTCCTCCCCTCCTTCAAGGCCCAGCACGAGGCTACCACACATCAGGTTTTCCTTTCCCAATTGTTCTGGTCCACCTAGAGCAGCCCCAGGCAGATGGCCATGCTGGAGAAGTTGGGAAAGGAAGTGATGGGAGGAACTCTGAAGTTCTCTGCTAGAAAGAGGTCTTCCTTCTTCCCTCCCCCTACATGCTT